TTTTTTTCGGAAAGGATAATTCGATTCGATCGGTCCGATTTCGACCACTATAATGATAAAAGAAATAGAGAAAAAAACTGGTAAGACAAGTGGCTATAGCAAAGATATTTTGTTGAGAGAGGAAAAATAATAGTCATATTTTAAAAAGCCAAAAGGGTACATCTTCTCATGCTGCTGCTAAGGCCAATAATGACTTGTCCTTCTAGATTCCTCTCTGCCGCCTGCACAGGTACATTTTTTTTTATTTTTTATTATTTATTTTAGGGTAATTACGATCACCCGAGTTATGGTCAAATTACGAAAACCTCCCTCGTATTTGAATAATTACAGCCACCGCTCTCAACTATGTATCATCTTACGAAAGGACTCCTCCAGAGGTAAATTTAGGGATGTTAATTCGGTAAAATCGAACCGAAATTTTGGTATGCCAACATTTTATACCGTTTACCGAACTAACTATACGATTTGGTTCGGTAAATAATCGAATTACATAAATTTTATTTTAAAATATTTAAAAGGAGGGATGTGACTGTAATTACCCAAACAATAGTGATTTTTTCGCAATTTGATCATACCTCAAGGGGTGGCTGTAATTTGCCCTATTTTATAATATACGAGACGCTTGGCGATCGTTCGAGTACCATGCACGTGTGCGTACATGTTGTAGTATAACTTGTACCAAGAAGCAAGAGAAAAAAAATTAGTATAATGGCATGGGACATGGATTAGATAGATAATTAAGATGATTTGTCCTAATCTATTTCTCTTAATCAATGTTCACACATGTGCATTCACATGTTGTACTTGCATATAAATGGCAAAGCCACTTCATTACCACCCAAACTACATTGCTTCCAAATTAAAATTTTAATCCTATTGCATTTTTATTTTTCTTTCGAATATTGAGTGTAGTATAAACGAACGAAAAATAACGGAAAAACGTCATATTTTTTATATTGTTGGGCCGGGGGGTGATGAGCGCGATATCGACGTGTAACAATTGTAAACGGGGTTTTTGTTTTATTTGTAGTCACTAATATTCTCTCTATTTCGGCTCGTTTTAGAGATCTTTTTATTATTATTATTATAAATTATCTGTCGTTTTAGAATTGGCTGAAGAATCTATAACTATTTCTTGGATTTTAAAACCATGTGTATTTATTAGTTTTGTAATAGGTGTGAGTGAATATTAAAAGTTGGTATTAGTCAACTCAAGGGGGGCAGATTGTCTGGATTTGCACCATTGAGAAAATTTAAAAGAAAATAAAAAATGAAAAGAAATTGAAAAGAATAAAATCTATTTACATATTTCTTGGTAACAAACACATCCGTACACCCGTGGATAATGAATAATTATGCTTACCATGACTCTTTGCTCATTTTACAATGCAAATAAACTATTCATTGTAAAATATCTATCTATATATGGACTTTCAATAGGGCATGTTTGGATATATCAAAATAACAAAAAATGAAAATATCAATAAGATAACTAATTTTTTAACTTTAAATAGAAAGAAAACATAATTTCTTTCCTAATATAAATAATTAACAATCAACACTTAGGATTTCATACTCCCTTCGTTCCACAATATCAAATTACGCAGATGAATAGAGAGCCGAGTTCCAGCATTCATATCATGCTCCTCTTAGTGGTGGAGCCAGCATAGGGTCAGGGGGCCATGGCCCCCATCATTTCTCAAATTTCTTTTATTTTATATATAAGTAAAGGAAAACCATGTATAATAAGATTGACGGGCCCCCTTCTTATAATTTCTAATACGTTCAGCTCCCTCAAACTTAAAATCCCGATTTCGCTATTGGCTTCTCTTCTACTTTCTTATTTCATAAAAGAAAAGAGAAGAAAAAGTAATCCACAAATGTTAAGGTAGTGATGTTACAATCTTTTGAATGAATAGTAAGTAAAAGCTATATATATATAAATTAATTTAAAAAAAAACATCAATTTAGCAAATTCGTTTGACAAAATAGCCAATATATAAAAGAAGAAAAACATTATTATAGTTGGAAAGATAATTTATTTGGAGTTTCTTTTTACAGCCAATTCACATTTCCTTTAAGGCAAAAGTGGGTCCCACAAAGTGTAAATTAATTTCAAACCAAGAATACACAAAGTGTGATGACAAAAGCACTAATTCATCATTATTTAGCCTTTTAAGAACAACAAAACACTTAATTACCTCACAAAACCAAACTTAGAGAAAATTAAATAATGCTTTAGCAAATTAACTTTACCTTTTTGCCCCTATAACTAGCTGCATATTAAGGTTAATTACACACAAAACTAGATGGTGTGTAAATTGGACAATTTCACAACCAATTTCTCCCTTGGTTTTGATTTTTCTTTGTAGCCCAATTTTCGGAGCTTTGTCCGATTCAATGCTGCGAGTGTAAAATATCTATAAACGAACATAATAATAAAATAAAATAAAATAAAATCGCAAAAGAGTAGATTTATTACTCGTACAACAATAGTTGGCCAATAATTTTTTTTATTTTATAATCAAAGAAAAAATTGGTAAAATTTTGTGCAAAAAAGGGGTAAATTTATATGCTTTTTTATTTAATTATTATTATTATTAGGCATAAGAGGTAAATAAACTTTTCAGAATAATCCGGAAAAAAGTGCTCAATTCAGTCAAAAGAGGGAACCACTCTTAAAAATGACACTGCATTTTCATGTGAGTGCATGAATTTACAGCAAATTTTAAAAAAAAAAAAAAATTCAAATGCAAGTCAACATTTTGTGAGATTTAATCTCTATCGTCATAATTTATTCTAGACCAAATCACACTCGCCCATAAGGTAAAGTTAAATTACGACAAACGTCCTATTGTTTGGGTAATTAAAATGACCTCTTTAACTGTGTATTGTCTTACGAAAAATTCCTCTTTCAATAGGTAAATTTGACACCCGTAAGTGTCGATATGTAAGAAAATACATAATTGAGAAGGGTGATTGTAATTACAATAATAAGAGGGTATTTTCGTAATTTGACATTACTTCTGGGGTGGGGTGACTGTAATTTACTCCTTATTCTATGCAACTACAATTTAATGGAAATATTTATACTTTTATGGTATAGCATCAATTGTCCTTAAATAAAGGTAATAAAATGTTTGCCTAACTTATTTTTCACTCTCTAATTTGGATGGTAGGTAGAGTCAATGAAACTATACATAGTAAAATAACAAATTGTAATAATTGGGTCCAATTGAAAATCCACAATTTCCCCAATAATTCATCCTTGTTTATTAATTTTGTTAATACATGCGCAACAGCCGCAAAACGACAAATTATCTTGGCACAAAGAGAGTATATGATGATCGTTTTATTTATTATTGTTCATCGTAGTTCAAATCCGCGTTACCAAAATAAAAATAAAAAAAATTGGAAAATAAGTCATTATAAAACACTAAATAATAATAATAATAATAATTATGATTATTTTATTTTTATTTTTTAACGAGGTTGTCATGTTTTAAGGTATAATAAAAAAGAAAGAAACCTTTGTTAAAACCATCACCGGATATTCTTCTTTGAATTATTTGTTCAGTCATGTCAATTCCTAGGATAGGCAGAGTGCATTTACATATTAATATTTACTTTTATATATATATATATAAAAAAAAAAAAGATTATTTTAATTTTGTCCATTTATATATATATTAAATTCTGAAAAGTTAATTATTACCTAATAATGACATAACCATCCAATTAAATCTCAAGAAAAGTCCAGATAATTCTGTTTTTACCAACAAGAAACAAATATTAATTACAGATAACATTTCAACTCTATTACCAGAAAAAAAAAAAAAAAAAAAAAAAGTCTACGACGACGGTTCGATTTGTTGCTACATTCGATGAATTTATCGCGCTACATTTTAATATACAACGTAAGAAATTATACAATAAAATTTATGATATAAAATTTAAGTTGATGCAATGAGGTTCATGATTACATATATAATTGAAAGAATAAGAATCACAATTTAACTGTTTGACTATAATAATAATTAAAATAAAATAAATATGCATGTAATATTATTGCAGTAACAAAAGCCAAAAACAATAAATGACTAAATATTTATTGCACCAAACCAAATTTTAGAGGGTGGAAATCTGACAACAAACTCCCCTCACATCTGCTGGTAATAAATGTCTGCAAAAATTTATTTATTTAATTTAATTTTTTTAATATTTCAACTTACCATAGTTACTGTTCAGATTAAGTTGACCACCTCATGAGTTAAGCCGAGCCGATCCGAGCCGAGCGAGCCGAGTTCACTGACTTAAGAAGCTGTTAATGTAAATCACTGCAGAAAGTTTCATGGTTCTGTTTATGAAGTTTTGATGAACACTAAACTTAATTAATTAATTTAATTAATTAATTAATTAAAAAATAAAAAAAAACCATAAATAAAGCCCCAAAACCAAGGAAGTGAGAGTGTGACACCCTCACTTCTGTGCCTTGTCTGCACTTTGTTTTTTTTGTTTAGTAAAAAACCTCTCTCTCTCTCTCTCTCTTGTTTCTCTCTCTCACACACACACACACACACACACACACACATTGGTCACTTTCTCTCTCTACAACTCTGAAATAGAGGAAACCAGAGCTCAGCAGAGGAGTTTTAATGTTGTTCAACCACCGCCCCTAAAACAATCCTTCTCTCTCATCTCTCTCTCTCTCTCTCTCTTCGTTCTCTCTCTTCTTTCTTGAATTACCTTTCTCTCAGATCTATCCCATTTAATAAATTCACCTCATTACATTTGATTTTTGCTACTTGTGTTTTTAATTCTTTAGTGGAGAAAGATGAGTAAAGAAGAGTTCTTGAAGATCCAGGTAACCTCTTCTCTCACCCATTTGCTGATAAATGCGTGTGTGTGTGTGTGTGTGTGTTTTCTGTATGATAGATAAGAATGTGTTTATCCCGTGAGCTGTGTGTTTGTGTGTGTGTGTGTGTGTGTTTTTGCTTTATGGGTTTTGCGTGTATTGGACTCAAAAAGATTTTTAATGGCATTAATTAGCTGTTCCCTCTATCTTTTTCTTTATTTCCCTTCTGTCAGATTGGATTTTTATTTTTATTTTATTTTGTTTTTCCAATTAATTCATCAATTAGAAACAATTTTTTATATATTTTCCCCTAAAAATTCAATTTTGAATGCTTCAAATTCTTGTTTCTGGGCTTGTTTTTAATTTTGTAGTGATAAAGTTGTGATCTTTACCCTGTTTTTATGGTTTCTCTTGTGTTTTGCAGACCTGTGTTCTCAAGGTCAATATACACTGTGATGGCTGTAAACACAAAGTCAAGAAAATCTTGCAGAAGATTGATGGTATATATATACACTCTCCTATATCTAATTGTCAAAAATTTCCTATATATATTCATTACTGTGGTTGTATTTTTTCAAGAATTGTCTTAAAAATTCAATCTTTTTTTTAGGGGTTTATACCACAAAGATAGATTCAGAGCAGGGGAAGGTGACAGTTTCCGGCAATGTGGACGCCGCCACCGTCATCAAGAAGCTCATCAAGAATGGCAAGCATGCAGAAATATGGGGTGCTCCGAAACCCAATAACAACAACAATAACCAAAACCAGCTCAATAATCAATTCAAGAACCTCCAAATTGACCATGGCAAAGGTGGTCACAACAACAAGGGCCAGCCTCAAAAGGGCGGCGGCGGTGGTGGCGGCAATAACCAGCCAAAGGGTGGTGGCGGCGGCGGCGGTGGTGGTGGTGGTCAAAACCCACAGCTTCAACAGCTTCAGCAGCTCCAACAGATGAAAGGGTTTCAAGATCTGAAACTGCCGCCTCAGTTTATGAAGGATTTAAAGATGCCGCCTTTAGGCGGTAAGGACCCGAATCAGAAACCCGGCGGCAAGAATAATATGCCCCATGAAGATGATTTTTCGGATGATGAGTTCGATGACTATGATGATGACGACGAGGATGATGACTATGATGAGGATGATGATGACATGGAGGATGACATGGACGATGACATGGATGATGTCCCGTTGAATAAGAAGAATCCTGTCATGGGTGGGAATGGTGGCTCCCAGATGATGCCTAATATGTTGATGAGTAATGTGATGAATGGGCAGCAGCACCTCCCTCAGCAGCTTCTTAAGGGCGGCGCTCCTGGCGGCAATAACGGTGGTGGTGGTGGTGGTGCGAAAAAGGGTGGGGGTGGTGGGAATATTCCTGTTCAGATGAATCTTGATGGCAAGAAAGGTGGCGGTGGAAGCCAGATTCAAGGTGGCGGGAAGGGTGGAAAGGGCGGTGGTGGACCGCCGTCGGAAAGCAAAAATAGGTGGCGGCGGGGGTGGTGGTCAAAACAAGGGTGGTGGTGGTGGCAATATGAGTAATTTGATAGGTAATGGGGCCAAGAAAGGGGGTGGTGGAATGAATGATGGGGCACATGGCATGCCAAACATGATGGCCATGAATGGTGGTGGTGGTGGTGTGGGCCATATCGGGAATATGCCGAGGGGCCCACCGATGGGCGGTCTACCACAAATGGGCCAAATGGGAAATCTTGCAGCTGTTCAAGGACTTCCGGCGATGGGCGGCGGCGGTGGTGGAGGCGGCGGTGCCCCCGGGTTTCATCCAGGTGGTGGGCCGGAGCAAATGGCCGGAAACCCTTACTACCAACAACAACTGGCGGCAATGATGATGAACCAGCAGCGCGCGAACGGAAACGAGCGGTTCCAGCCCATGATGTACGCTAGGCCTCCGCCTGCGGTAAATTACATGCCTGCCCCTTACCCACCCTACCCCTACCCCCCGCCACCCGGCGAGAGGGCCGATCAGTACTCCATGTTCAGTGACGAGAATACCTCGAGCTGTTCTGTTATGTGAGTGGGGTTCCGTTTGCCGCCAATGCTCCACCACCACCGGCGGTGGTGGTGGTGGTGGAGATCATTATATACCTTGAAATGTTTTTCGTTACTTCGATTTTTATTTTTCGTTCTTTTTTTCTTTTTTCCTTCCCTTTTGAATCCTAAATTTAGATTAGTGTTTCAATGATAGGGAGGTATTTTCTGATAGATGATAATTATATATTAAAAAGCCTTTTAGACAATGAGGATGTATGGTGGCAATGTTTATATAATGTTTATATTTTTAAAACAATAATAATAAAATCAAAGGGAATGGGATTTTATTCTTCCAAAATCAATTTACTTCTCAATTTAATTGTATATATTCTCAATTGTTTAAATCTAATACATTAGTCTTTTATTATGTACTAGGGCTTTATGCTTTATATATTAGGCCACCCTTGAGATAAGGTTATATTACGAAATAATCCCTCATGTTTGGATAATTACAACCAAACCCCTCAATTATGAGACTTCTTACATGTCCACCCTTATGATATCAAATTCAACATATAATTTTCTAGATTTTATGGAATGTTCTCTACTGTGTACTCGCTTTATGCAAAAATGCAGTTTATAATGCATCACAATCTGATATTTACAAGCCAAGAGACACATCTTATGATCATTTTATTGGAGCTCGAATGGGATAAAACGGGTACAAATTGGAGAATATGCCACGTAATCTAAAAAAATCCACTAACTTTGACACACAAGGGTGAACGTGTAAGAATATCCATAGTTAAAAAGATTTTATTGTAATTATCCAAACATAAAAAGTTTTTTTGTAATTTAACATTATCTCAGGGATGGCCATAATTTACCCTGTATATTATAAAAAATTGTAATAACAAAAATTTCAAATAATGTTTGAATATTCAAAGAAGTCATTTGAACTCAGACGATACCTATTTTTGGGTGACTAGACACGTATCGGTATTACACTATAGACTTTTTAAAAAGTATTTTGGAAGAATCCTTTACTTTTGTAGTAAATAGGTACAAATAAAAATATGAAGAGTGTGATTGCAATTAGGGAAATTTACAAGGACCCCTCACATAGGTTCTAATTACAAAAAGAAATCCTCCTTGTTTGCATAATTACGATTGCATCTCTTAAACCAACGGGGTGCAAAAAATCCTAACAAAAAGTAGTAATGGTCTATAATACCCACACGTTATAATAATTACACTAAAGAGAAAGAACGATCATAAATTTAATTTTCTAATATTCTTACATTTGGCCCCTCATACAATGTAAAATGTTACACATAACCCTTCTGACAAAAAAAGGGGCAATTAAAAATAAATCCCTTCTTGTAATTAAATAAACAAGGATGGTTTTTTTCGTAATTAAATCTTACTCAAACCCTTTGTAATTTTTCCTTCAATTATGGAGGGCAATTGTTGGGTGTGGCCCACCAAAATTTTCATGAATTGGATGAAAAACATTAGGGCCCACTAATTTATGCAAAGTGGGACCCACTCCAGCCAAATTTGTGTATCTATCTAATTCATTTATAGAGACGAGGGTTTGTATTATTGATTTTGGTGTAATGCCAAATATATGCATGTGAGTGTGTACTTATTTGCAATTATAGAATATTTCATTTTGCAAAGGGGGGCCAATTGTATAAAATGTTGTAACATTGGTGAATTATTTACTAGTACTATAGTTTGGCGAAACGTGGAACTTGGAATTTAAGATTCAACATCTCGTGAATATTCAAATTTCGGTAAAAAAAAAATCAAAAAAATCGGACACCTTTTTTTTTCCCTTCAAATTCGAAATGAAAAAAAAATGTCTAGATTATGGAAAAAAATTGATCATGATTGCCGAAATTCAAAAATTTTGTTCCAATTTACACCAGTGGTTTTAAGCAAAATAAACTTTTTAGAAGTCAATTTGATGTGTGCCATGTGAATTAGTTGAGAATAGTTATGGAGACTAGGACCTATGCTCAATTGATGTTTTTTTTTTTAATTGAATTGAATTGATGTGTTGTATCTTTGGTATGGATCTATTACACATGCTCAATCAATGTTTGATTATAGTGTATATAGTACAAAATCGATGGATCCTATGTGTCGGTTATTTCTACACTACACACACTGAACGTTGCACCGAGTTGATTTTTACCATTGATCTACACACATCAGTGTGGGTGTGTGTGTATAGCATTTGCATGCTTGTGAATGGTAACAATTTTTTATATATATTTCATTTGGTGTAACATAGTGTAAGTAATAGACCTCTATATGTTTCAATTTTTTTTAATGTGCATTGATATATTGTTATTCTTCATGTTTAAATTCCTTGATATAATTACACACAATTTAATATAACTAGTATCTCACCCGTGCGATGCACGGAAGTCGAATTCAAGATTTAAAATTGATTCAACAAAACACGATAAAAAAAAAGGATAATATAAACTTAGTATAATTTAAGATATTGGAACAAATAACATCGCACCAACTTTGCCTTACCAATCGCCAAGATAAATAATTAATATAACAACTTTGCCTTACCAATCGCCAAGATAAATAATTAATATAATACGTCGGATACGTATTCCAATAGGGACGGCAATAGGGTGGGTATCGGACGGATTTTGGAATCCACATCCCCGTCCCGCGAGGAAATTCCCATTCCCCATCAAAATCCTCGAATTATTAAGTTGGCATCCCCACATCCACCTCGTAAAATACCTGTAAATAGTGTTTTTTTTCTTTTTTATAATTATCCTTAAAAAATTGCCAATAAATTTCTTACGACGATAAAAAAATTTCAAATATCATTAATTATCATGCTACAAATTAAAGTATTTTAAAATCAACAACTAATATATATATATATATATATATATATATATATATATATATATATATAT